GTTGAGCCAATGGAGTTACCACCGACTTAGCACTTTGCATCCCGAACCTCGTGATCACCCGCTCTATGTAGCCCTTCTGACTCAAGAACAATCGCTGATTCGCCCGCTCTCTTCTACATCCACATATAAAAGGAGATAAATATAATCACCTCCACGAAGCTTCCGAATGTAAACACAACAATCATAGTCGCTTTGGGAAAACCCATGCTTTAGCATGAAGGAGTCAAATCGCTTGTACCACTGCCGAGGAGATTGCTTTAGTCCATAGAGTGACTTCCTCAAGCGACATACATGATGCTCCTTATCCTCAACCTTGTAACCCTCAGGTTGATGCATATAGATCTCTTCATCCAAGTCTCCGTGCAAGAAGGCCGTCTTTACATCGAGTTGTTCCAGCTCAAGATCACCATGAGCAACAATACTCAATAGCACCCGAATAGAAGTGTGTTTCACCATCGGAGAAAATATCTCATTGTAATCCACACCCTCTCTTTGTGCAAACCCCTTAGCCACTAGCCTCGCCTTGTACCTCGTTCCACCGAGCTCTGAAGGATCTTCTTTTCTTTTATACACCCACTTACAACCAATAGCTTTTCTTCCTACGGGCAATGGGACCACCTCCCATGTTTGGTTCTTCAGGAGAGATTCCATCTCCTCCTCCATCGCAGCCAACCAACTCTCACTATCCTTGTCTCGAATAGCTTCCTTGAAGGAGACCGGCTCATCTTCCTCCACCGAAAGTGCGTACTCAACCAAATTAACATGCCCATAGTGCTTCGGGGGTTGATCAACCCCCAACTTCTGTACCTGCTTGTATACTCGCCTTGGCCTAGTGGAAGCCAAGCTATCCTCGAGCTGCTGTTGTTGTAGTGCCTGTGTATCTCATCATCTTCCTGATTTTCCACTTGAACAGGACTAGAACCTGGTTGGTCTTTAGGTTCTATCTCAATAACCTGGGACTTGAAAGCCTCAACACTACCATCCTTTGGCACCTTAGCAATCATGGACTTCTCATCAAAGGTAACGTCCCTGCTGATTACGAACTTCGAATCTTCTGTACACCAAAAGCGGTAGCCTTTTACACCCTTTGCATACCCCAAGAAAATTGCCTTCTTGGCCCTCGCGTCAAGCTTTCCTTCGTTAACGTGATAGTAGGCGGTACATCCGAAAATCCGGAGCCTCTTATAATCTGCATGCTCCCCTGACCACACCCGATAGGGTGTATCACCGTCTAATGTCAAATGTGGAGATCGATTCACTATATAGCAAGTTGTAGCAATCGATTCTGCCCACCATTCTTTGCCCAAACCAGCATATGATCGCATACTCACTGCTTTCTCCCGCAGTGTTCGGTTCAGTCTTTCCTCGACCCCATTTTGCTGTGGTGTAGACCTGACTGTCCAGTGTCTGGTAATCCCTTCCTGATCACAGAACTCCTTGAAAGCACTGTCTGTATACTCTGTACCGTTATCAGATCTCAGTGTCTTCAATTTCTTACTCGTTCTGTTCTCAACCATCGCCTTCCACTTCTTGAATGTCTCAAATACCTCATTCTTATGCTTCAGGAAATAAACCCAAGCATATCTTGAATGATCATCTATGAATGAGACAAAATATCTGGAACCACCCTTGGAAGTTGTCGAAGCCGGACCCCAAACATCCGTGTGCACATAATCTAGTATTCCTCTGCTCTTGTGCTTGCTCCTCAGAAATTGAACCCTGTGCGCCTTTCCATACACACAGTCCTCGCAAAAATCCATGCAAGGCTTCTTCAGATTCTTCAGCAAACCCTCTTTACCAAGCAGATCCATACCCTTCGCTGACATATGCCCAAGCCGCCTATGTCATAACCGTGTGTGCTCACATGGGTCTCCACCACTTCCTTCAGCTCCAACTGCTGCATCTCCCGTCACCGTCGTACCCGAGAGAGTATATAGATTACTGTGACGAACACCCTTCATCACTGTTAAGGAACCTCGAACAACCCTCTTCACTCCGTTCTCTGTTACAATCTTGCAACCCCCGGAGTCCAAAGCACCAACTGAGATGAGATTCTTCCACAAGCCGGGAACGTGTCGTACGTCCATCAGGGTTCGAACCACTCCATCATGCATCTTGATTTTGATATCACCTAGCACCACCGTTTTACAAGCATGGTTGTTCCCCATCAATACGGTTCCACCATCAATGCTCCTGTAAGTAGTAAACCACTTCCTGTTTGGACACATGTGGTAAGAGCAATCAGAATCAAGAATCCACTTCCCGGAGGTATCCTCGCCATCCGTGACGACATAACATTCCTTATCGCTCCCATCCTCTGAAGCGTAGCTCGCCTCTTCCTTGCCTTCTCGTCTTTCAGTCTTGTTGTTGTTCTTTTTCCCACCTACTCTATTGTTAGGACAATCGACCTTAAAATGCCCAACTTCACCGCATTTGAAACACGCTCGTCCCGCAAGAGGTCTTGATTTAGACCTAGACTTTCCTCCCTTGCCTTTTCCTCGCTCATTGCCTCTCCCTCTGGCAAACAGTCCCTACGCTTGTTCTTTGTTACCACCAGTGGCCATATCACTAGTTGTAATTTTTCGAAGATCATCCGCTAGAAGCGCCGTTCTAGTTTCATCCATCGATAAAGTATCACCCACAAGCATCAGTGTTTGTACCAGGTTCTCATAAGACTTTGGCAGAGATAGAAGTAGTAGAAGCGCCTGATCCTCGTCTTCCACTATCACCTCAATGTCTTTCAAGTCTGATAAGATCCTATCAAACTTGTTGATGTACTCCCGGATTGACGAGCCCTCCTCCATCTTGCAACTATACAATTTAGATTTTAAATAGATCCGGTTCGTTAGACTTTTCGTCATGAAGGTGCTTTCTAACTTCAACCACACACCCGCAGCCGTTTCCTCCCCGTCTACCAAGAAAACTTCAACCACACACCCGCAGCCGTTTCCTCCCCGTCTACCAAGAAAGCTACATCCCTCTCAAGGCATATGATAATCGACGCTCGTGCTTCCAGATCCAGCTCCTCCCAATCCTCATCAGACATATTTTTATGCTTCTCTCTTCCAGCCAAAACCTTGTGCAACTTTTGCGAAATCAGCGAATTTTTCATTTGCATCCTCCAATAGGAAAAATCATTTTTCCCATTAAAATTTTCAATCTCGTACTTTCCAATTTTATTTGTTTTACTTGTAGAAGTCATTTTTCGCTTGTATTATGTAAATCCGCTTCTCTCAGGAATTTTTAACAATTTCTTTGTGTTCACCACACAATAGTCAACCACCACCTCAGATCAGAAATTTTACCACCTCCAATCTGAATAAGGGGCTCTGATACCAATTGTTGGTCTCGGAGTCACGCCCACCACCGCGGAAGCAATATGTCCTGAGAGAGAGCCCTAACTTTTGTTTTCACAAAAATACAAGTCAAACTCGATATATGTGTTTCGCGAAGGAAACTCAGACTCAGTAGCGAAATATCTCAGCGAAGTGAGATATCCACTCTTCCTCTCATCAGTGCAAGGACTGAACTATCGAGGCCACCTGCAAGTAAAACAAATAGTTATGACAATACAAACACGGGATTTTTACGTGGTTCGGTAAACTAGCCTACGTCCACGGGAGGGGGTTTCACTATGGAGAAAAATACCAAACTTATACAAGTTCTCTCTTTCTCTCTTTCTTTTCTCTCAAAAACTCCACTTGAGATTTTTCCCACACACCTAAACTCTTCCACCCCTCCTCTATTTATAGGAGAGAGCAAGGGGTAGAACTGGAGATTAGGCGGGCAGACACGGCGGGAAAGAAAACAACGCGCGCGCGGGAAAATAAAAATCGCGCGGGGCTGAGTTTCGTGCGCGCGGGGCTGAGTTTCGTGCGCGCGCGCACGAAAGGGTAGGGGCGGCTTCATGTGGGCAGGCCCACGTGGGTGGGCCCCCCTGTCCCCCCGCTCACAAATGGCATAATCGATGCATGCAATTTTAATATCTGTTCTTTAAACCAGAACCAAACCCTAAACCGCAAAAGTCATATTGAAACCTCCCACTATGCAAATAACTCGCAATTGGTCAATATCTATAATGATCATTACATAAATTACCATGCAAAAACGAATAGAAAAGCATCCTAACACGCTCTCTAATAATCAACAAATAGGTTTTAAGGTTGTGCCTATGTAGATGAAGATTTGTGAGGTGGTCGCGCGTGATGGCTTGACGACAACAATGATGCTAAGGAATGCGTTAAGGAAATGATAATCGAAGTTCAAAATAACATATTTTAATTATGGTGGGGATCTATTTGATCTAGCTAACTTAAATGACTTGAGAGATATTGTACAAATTCCATCTTTAGGAAGACCTTATTCCTATTTCAAACTAAACATGACAAACATCAGAGAAATCCTCAACAAAGCTAGAAAATATTGGCAATTTATATATAGCAAGTATAAATACTTAATAAAACTGTAGGCGATTATAATTTTCTATCCCAAACTTTCAAAGTCCAAGTCAAACTCAAAAGTAGAAAAGATTTGTAGAGTTTACTTTTCAGCAGCTTACATCTTATGTTGGGTTGTCATTAACATCTTGAGTCATATTTAACCCTAGACTGACGTTAATAAGTGTACTATTTTCATTTAGAAAATAATAACATTTTCCATTCCCTCTCGAACAAGCCAAAAAAAAAAAAAAAAACCATTCCCCCATCAGTTCTAAATTAGTACAATCAATATATTATTAGTATAATCAGAAAATACACAAAAAAAAACAGTGTAATCAGAATATTACTATTGTATGAGGTACAATCATGGTATATCTCATTGTAACTATCTATTTTTAGTTTATACACTCGAAACACATCTTTGAGATGTCATAAAGAACCATCAATTAACATTTCTTTTCTTTATAAAAGTATCGTAACTAAGTACGGCATGTGGGCCGAATCAGGCCCATTCCTCGGTAAAAAAAAGCCCAACTCCATAATCCTTTGCCTGCCATCGTCATCCATCCATGGTCAAAAGGTGGGAACGCCTTCCATGGGCTAAGATCGGAGAAATTTTTAAAACCAACCATTTTTAAAATTTAATAGGCAAAATCGACCTAAACTGAAAAATATTAGCAAAACCGACCCTTTTCAGGAGAAAAGGGTCGGTTTTGCAGCGGAGGGTGATTTCCGAAGTGCACGGGACTGCTAGTCCCGTGCACTTGGTGTTCAGCAAACCCGCTGCTGAAACCCAGTGCACGGATCAACCATAACGATACTCGGACCTCTCTGTATAGACAATGATAGTATAAGAATGCAATATTATGTAAATGCAAATATTACAATTATAAAGTAACTGAATTACCTCTGTACAGGATATAATATGTGAACGATGCTGAGCCTGGTCATATAAGACCTCATCACTAACCGGCCCAGGATCCATGGTGTACAAACCTGCACATATAATTATACACATGTTAATAATCAATCATATAGTAATTCAGTTTCTTTATTAAAGTATATAAAAATAAAAAAATGATATAAATTACCAATTAGTTGCTATCTATTGTGTCTAGATGGACAACGAGGTCGAGTATGTCCCGGTTGTTTGCAAAGACTACATTTTTTGTGCTTGACCACTCCTTCTCGCCCTTGATCCATGGTTCCCCTAATTCGCACAGATCGTGGTCGACCTGCTTGTCTCCGGTACTGAGGTGGAACTATATGTGGTCCATTATATTCAGGCCAATACCGACTATCATCAGGTGGATGAAAACTCTCACTATATGTCTTTTGATAGTGAGCTGTTGAATACCAAGGCGAGCAATACCGATTTCTGGGAATTCTAGCACCTCCCGGCTGATTAGAAGAAGCCGCAAGCACATGTGCACAGGGTATTTTTTGGAGTTGTGGTATGTTACATGTGCAAGTGCAATCAACATCAAATAGTTTAACGGTGTAGATACCGTCACAATCTTGTACCTGCCATTCGTTGTCGTTGAATACAGTAATTTGACATGATCTTGCTGCCTCAATTCTTCTATGCAAAATGGACTCATTTTTTGGTGTGTAACGTGTTGTCCAGTCTATGCCATCACCACGCCTTTTGTTGAAGTATGCGTTTAGTCTATAGAATGTTCTCGCAACCAAAGATTGTATTGGCATAGCTCGTGCTCCTTTAAGAACGCCGTTAAAGCTCTCGGAGCAATTAGTCGTCATCATGCAAAACCGCACACCCTCATCCTTACATAATGCCCACCGATGCTCGAATTGAGGCTTCAAGTTATTTTCAATCCAATTATGTGCATCTAATGACAAAGACTTGATTTTCTCCCTGCAATGTTCATACACTAATGTGTCGGTCGCACACCCGGCTTGCCACAAAAGATTTTGCAAATTAATCTCACCGTGTTTTTTCTTGAAATTATCTCTTATATGCCTTAAACAATATCGATGGTGATGTGGTGCACTAAAACCCTCATGTAACGCCCTTATAATTCCTTTCATCCTATCCGAAATAAAGGTAATTATTCTTGGCGCACGGACACTTGGAATCCACTTGTATATAAGTTCAAAAAACCACTTCCAACTAGACGTATCCTCCACCTCCACGACTGCAAATGCTAGAGGAAATAACCCGCCATTTGCATCTACACCGGTCGCTACAAGAAGCACGCCTTTGTACTTTCCATATAAATGTGTACCATCAATGCTCAATAGCGGACGACAAAAAGTGAAGCCCTTAATAGCAGGACCAAATGCCCAAAACACGCGAGTGAACCTCTCCATACCCGGTGCAATCTCTTCGGATAATATTTCGTATTCAGTACCCGGATTATTTCGTTTGATAGCTTCAAGATACTGTGGAAGTAATTCATATGATTTTTCCCAATCTCCAAAAATTTTAGACAACGCTTTTCTCCTTGCATCATATGCCTTATATTTAGATATCTTAATCCCCCGCATGTCATATACCCTCTGAAATATCTGACTTGCATTCAGATCAAGTTCAGCTCTAACTTCAGGCATAATTAGCTTACATATATAAGAAGAAGATGCAGAATAATCATCGACATCCACCGACGGGTTGCAACATGTATGAAGTCCGCAATATCTACATATTACAAATTGCCCATTTGATGATTTTCTCACAGCGGCATTTAGCAACCAAGGACATTTTTTATTTCTCTCATCTTGCTCATTTGCATTCTCTACTTCATTCTTATCGTTAAAGAAGCATTTCACATTGTAGTTTGTTGCATTAGTTTTTACCGGCTTTAATTTGACCCGATTCTTGATGGACCATTCTCGGATTGCAAAAATCAGTGCCTCCTTGTTCTCGAATAGATCCCCTTTTTTAAAAGTGAAGTCCTCAGGTCGTTGTAAATTTGGCCCAACATCAACAAATCCAGCTTGAGAAGTATTTATCCAATCCTCATTATGAAACTCGTCGGGCAACGGATCTTCAGCTTCCACATAATCATTGTTAACGTTAAATTGCTCCATCCAACGGGCGTCATCATCTATTCCAGCTGCCACATGCATGCTATCAATTTGCACGCCATCTTCTTCAAAATGATCTGAATCATCATCTGCTTCATCTTCTATAATTGCTCCGACTGGTGGGTAACCCGTAACATGAACTGAAGCGTCGTTAAATATATTAGTTGACGTCCCACCGATAGAATACTCACTTAAACGTTGTGGTTGAGACCATGGCTCTTGACTTGGAGATGTCATAAAACCAATCGACTCGTTGTCTAAGTCAAGCATCCGAGAAAACTCTCCTTGAGGTCGTGAAACTTGGGCAAATTCCTGAATCGGATACTTCTCAATAAACAACTCAATTGACGCTTGCTTCTCGACTAATTGTTTCATGTCATTCAATTCCTCATCTTCGGTAATCTCCACGGCAATAGTTCTACTCTCATTTATAGGACAGTTGAAGAACACCTTAATTGTATATTCTTCTTTCTTAATTTTAGTAACTCTGTGTATTTCCCTAGTCATTCCATCAAAATTACACGACTTAGATAGCATGAACATTTTCCGAGAACCTCCATCATACACCGGCAAATTATTCACTCCGACGCCGAGGCTCCCATTAAAGAAACAAATAATGGATATGGAGTTCGTCATCGAAACTGAAAATACACAGTCCATCATATGCAAATAATCTATTAATATCTGAATAAATCAACATCAAATTTATTACCTTAATCAATCTCAAATAATGGCTACACCCTTAATTATTATTCATCATTTGTAAATAATTGCTAAACCCTAACCCCCAAACCACATTATTCATCCTATTGCACAAAATAAAAACTAATCCTACCCAATTCTAGCAAAATTAACAGCAAAATTAACAGCAAATTTGATGAATATCCCTCTCAAAAATAATTGTTAAACCCTCTCATATGTAAATAATTGCTAAACTAAACCCTAACTCCCAAATTAACAGCAAAATTAAAAAGAAAAACACACCTGAGAATGGGGGTTCGGTGGGCGTCGATGGTGTCGGATGCGCGACGAGGTCGGAGGGCTAGGGTTAGGCGGCGACTGCAAATGGCAGGGGGTCGAAGTCGAAGTTGAAGGCTAGGGTTTGGGGGGGTTGAAGGCTCAGTCACGAGAGCGTCGGGGTCGGCGGCGACGGAAAATGGCGGTGATCGGCGGCGACGGAAAATGGCGGTGATCGGCGGCGGGGGTCGACGAGGCCAGCAGGTTTTTTTTTTCTTCGGGGGAGAGTGGTCACGAGATCGCAGAAGGAAAGAAGGAACGAAACGAACGAAAAGAAAGCGGAGTTAGTGGGGTAGGCGGACTGCACGGGACTACTAGTCCCGTGCAGTTCCGTAATTGCAAAATCGACCCTTTTCGGTTGTTTTTGCTAATTAATTTCTGAGACGGTCGATTTTGCACAATAAAATTGAAAAATGGGCTGTTTTAAAAATTTCTCCGCTAAGATCCTTTTCTGAGGTCTCCTCTCTCTCTCTCTCTCTAGGGTTTCTCAGCGGAGACTCAATTGCTCAAAATCGGAGCTCGATCGCGGAAAAATCCCTCGCCGGTTCATCCAAGGTATGCTCGAATTCGAATTTGATCGATGAAATCACCGTGCTTAGATTCTTTGCTTCGAAATCGATGATAAGCTCGCGATCGTGATTTTTTTGACGCCTTTTCTAGGGTTTAATAATCTCGAAGATGGAGGAGAGTTTGAAGATGGAGAGCCAGTTGCAGTCGGCTGCGGCCTTCGTTGAAGGAGGGATCCAGGATGCTTGCGATGATTCATGCAGTATTTGCCTCGAGGCTTTTTGTGAGAGCGATCCGTCTACGGTTTGTGATCGAATTTTGCGTCTTTTTGGGAATTTTTTTAAATTAGGGTTTTGGTTGACGATGATGTTGTTTGTGGTGTTTTGATTGGTCAGGTGACTAGCTGCAAGCATGAGTTCCATCTTCAGTGCATCCTTGAATGGTAAATTCTGCTCTTGCTGCTCTTGATTGATTATAATTTACAAGTAAACTCTGTGTTCCCGCTTCATAGATTAGCTTTTATAGCTGTCCTGTTTGGTACCAAAGTCTAAAATTGATTTGAGCTTATGTTTGCGATTGATTATTGGGGTTTGCTTCATATTGATTTCCAAAATCTTAAGTGTCTTAAAATAATCTCATGAAACACTTGTATTCTAAATAAGCCCTAAATCTTGGGGGTTGTATCAAATAGGTGCTTCATATTAGAATCAGTTCGTCTTTTAACCCCTAATAAACCTAACTCCGTTGAAGTTTTCATTTGTAGCTTAGTTTCTTTACAAGTTTTGTTGTGTGAACTTCACATCTTTGAAACTAGAAATCACTGGGAAGACGTGATTAAAGTACAAATTATTAAAGGAGAAATACCAACCGAAGTGGAGAGAAGAGAGGAAAAACAAGTACAAGTAATTAAAAAAATAGAGAGTGAAAAATGAAGGATTTGGGTTTGATTTTAATGAGCACTAGACGTCCTAGGCGTTGGACCCGACACCTAGAACCTAGGCCCGGCGGGGGGCATAGGTGTTTTCCTATTTATAGTTTTTTAATTATAATTACTGATAGTAAATGTCAATGTTATAGAAAGCTTAGGCGATGCACTGACACCTAGGTAGATTTCTTAAGTGGTGGTGGAGGGTATTTTGTTCAAGGTCAAGAGAGGTAGAGGAGGTGTTCATAGTTGGAGTTTAGAGGAGGTTGGAGGATGTGGAGGCTGCAATGGAGGAAATCATGATCAAGGGTGCAATCCATGTAGGCAAACCGCGCTCCCCTAGGTGCTCGCAAAATGTAGGTGGGCAAATCTAGGTACCGCCTAGGTGCTAGGCACTAGGTAGGCGGTCGAGGTATCGCGTAGACGGGCTAGGCGGGGGCTTTTTAAAATATTGATAATGAGAAACTTTAGTGATGTTAAATTTATTAGGGGTTGAAGGATCCTAACATGAGGGATCTATTTGATAAAACTTACGAAATTAGCTGGACTTGTTTAAGTTATTACTGTTTGGTAAAGTTTTTTCTTTTCTAATACTTAGATTTTGGGACCAATGTCAGAAAACCCCTTGATTCTGATGCATTGACTCTTCACTTTTTTGATACTTATTTCTTTTAATTTAATGATGGCCACATACATGTTTTTTTTTTAAATAAAACAAGCTGGGTTTAATCTCTTATGTCAACGTGATTAGTAAATTTTTATATACCTGTGTCTAAAGGTACCAACTTATACAACTTTCATGTCCAATTTTGTTCTTAATGACTGAATTACGTGTCCCAAAATTTGCAGACCATGTAAATTAGAAAGATATCACACACATGGTTTTTTTAAAACAAGTTGGATTTAATCTCTTATGTGAATGGGATTTATAATTCTCTTACATGTTATTGCTCTGTGTCTAAAGGGACCGATTTTTCAGCTTTAATTTTTTTAATGACTGAATTATGTTTATTGCTGACTATGTAACTTAGAAAGATACACAATTTTGTGAATGTCAGATGTTTCAACCTTTGTTGGTTAAATTTTTAGTTATTTATCTGCTGCCATTTGTTTTCAGTGATAGAATAATACTTCTTTTTGTTTAACTGGTGTGGAGTTCTAATGCCTAGAGAACCAATTTAAGATCTTTATTTCTGTTGATCTGTTCCCTCCATCTGGAAGTAATTTCATGTTAACATTTGGTTCTAGGTGCCAGAGGAGCTCTCAGTGCCCTATGTGTTGGCAGCCCATCAGTTTGAAGGATCCCATAAGGTTTGTTGGCTTTGTTGTATGCCTAATGTTATTTTGGCAATTTTATTGGGTTGATATGCAATGCTGAATTATTGCAGCCAAGAGTTATTTGAGGGTGTAGAACATGAGAGGAACATTAGGTCCAATCAAACACGAAATGCCACCATTTTTCGTCACCCTGCACTTGGAGATTTTGAGTTGCAGCATGTGGGTATTAATGCACATTGAGTTGTTGTGCATGGACTTGGAACTTTCTTTTAATTTAATTACTAAATTCTGATTTTAAAACCCCATTACAGCTACCAGTTGGTGTAAATGATGCTGAACTTGAAGAGCGCATAATCCAACACTTGGCTGCTGCTGCAGCAATGGGTAGAGCCCATCATGGTGGCAGAAGAGAAGGACAACGCAGGTCCACAGCTCAGGGCCGCCCACAATTTCTGGTTTTCTCTACACATCCTAATGCACCTTCTGTTGGTTCAGTTTCTCTCTCATCTGCCCCGAGAGGTGAAGAAGAACAATCGAGTGCTGCAGGTAATTCTTCAACCATAGGTAATACCACAGAAGGTGCTGTCAGTGTAGCTCAAGCAGATCCAGTTAGTGGCATGACATCTGGAACTAGTGCTGCTACCAACACCAACAGGCCTGTTATTTCCAATAGCCAGTAAGTCTTGACACTGTAAATAACTGTACTGAATCTACTGATATTAGTGAATTCCCTGTGTAAAGGGTGGGGTTTTTAACTGTCCATTTTATAACAGGATTTCTGCTGGACAAACTACTCCAGTAGGTCAGGACAGAGCTGGACCATCAGACTTGCAGTCCTTTTCGGAAACTTTAAAATCTCGCCTAAATGCTGTCTCGATGAGGTAGTTATACATTTTTAGGCCTTGGTCTTAGCTTATAACTAACAAAGAGAGACCTGTAAGTCACTTGTAATTTTCTCGTCATCAGATACAAAGATTCCATCACAAAGAGTACAAGGGGTTGGAAGGAAAGGCTGTTTTCACGTAACACTTCTGTAGCAGATATTGGGTCTGAAGTCAAGAGGGAGGTTACTGCCGGTATTGCTTCTGTTTCACGCATGATGGAGCGTCTGGACACGAGAGAAAGTAGAAGAACAGCTGGTGACCATGATCAACAAAGTTCAGGAGGTTATCCAGTCACCCAGTCAAGTAATGAGAGAGTTGCAGATAATAAGACTAATAGTCCTCCAAATGATAACCACACATCTACTTCTTCTGCTACAACTGCAACTTTGAGCTAAACTAACTTATGATCTCCAGAATTTGAATGTGCCAATATGTTCATCTTTCAAGGTATTATACTTAATTTGCCTATATATTAGTACTTGAGTACATAATTACTTAACTTCAGAAATGTCACTTGGGAGGAGTAGAACTATCATATTGATAGAAGAGAGCTTAAACTGGCACACTTAATTAGAAAATCGTCCAAAGAGACCATTAAGCTTCTTATATTGGTACTTTACTATATAATTACGTAACTTCAGAAATGTCACTTGGGAAGAGTTGAATTATCATATTTGGATAGAAGAGAACTGAACCGAACTGGGACTCTTCAGAAATGTCACTTTGGATAGAACTGAACTGGGACTCTTAGACAGAAAATCATCCAAATAAGCTTCCCTTGCTGAAGTAATCTGAACCAATTTACAATCAGTTGAAAAGTAGCATTTCCAATTCTCAGCTCTATATTACATATTAATAAATAACTATGTAAGACTTAAGACAACCTAGGAAGGCGAAAGACAAAGACCTGTCAGCATTATATTAGCTGTTCTAATAGGAGGCACAAACTTGGAGATTTTCTATTAGTATAGCCGTGTTAAGTGTATTTTGTCTAGGTGAGAGCACTCAGATTCAGTTCTTAACTTGGGATCTCCAAAACTTAGTTTGGTTTAGAAGACTTGACTTTATTTCAGGTCATCTCTAAGCTAATTTAGAGAAAGATTTATGCCTATATTCTTAAATGTTGATCTTTTGACTGTAAGTCTAACAAATATATTTTATTAAAAACTTTTATGTTTTTTGTCACACTGCTAAGATGTAATTTCTTTACTGGTTCTTTCATTTCTCTGGATCATAGTTAACAACATATTTGATGTGGACACTCTTGAATTCCTTCTGAGGGTGCATTTGGGTCATCATTTGAATATTGTCTTATTCTGTGCCATGGGTATTAAAAAATGTTTGTTACACTGAATATTACCAGGCTTGAGTAGCCCAGGAGAAGATATGGCATACTAAATATTGTTTTGCCAATGTGTTTTGTGTCATTTTGCTAGTAAGGTCATACATCAGCTTTTGATATCTAGAAACATTCAAATGAGATATCACACCTCAAACTTGGGATCTTTCAGATGTCTTAGGCTCCAATGAACTCAACTAGGCAGTGCAGTGATAGGATCACATAGTAATGATATTTGTATTCAATTATGAGCACTGGAAAACACTACACGACAACAGATTCTAGGTAATTTCTCTAATAAAATACTATCTACTTCAATGAATGCTATCAATTTTTTTAATCCTAAATTCCTAGTGAGTTTCCAAATTTTTTTACCAGATAAACCCTTACTCTTCTATTTTTCTCTTCCTAGAACACGGCAAATACAAATGTACGACTAATACCATTCACTCAAACAATTATTTCTTCTTCCATGACAAGATCTCGCCTCTTCTTGTTTCCTCCCCCAAGGAGAATGTTGTGTAGGCGTCTAAAATTGTCTACAAGAGCCCGCACGAAACTCGAAGCAATGAATGGGCGAGTCAAGAAGATTCGTCAAACCAACTCACGTGCGCGTCGGTCAACGCGTGCACTGTCAATCAGCTCGTGCGCGCCAGTCACTGCGCGCCATACGAGTATAAGCAGATCAATCAGACTCGTTGCGCCGGTCAACGCGCGCAAAGTTAATCAACTCGTGCGTCCAGTCAACGCACGGCACGTCAATCAACGGCGTGCGCGTTAACAGTCAAACACACGTGCAACGTCAACCAACTCGGCGCGAAAGCACGGTCAACGGCGCGCACATTGTCACACAACTCCGTGCGCGACCCGGTCAAGCACCAAAAAATAGACGCACGTCAATAGCCCGGCGCAAATCGATCAGCAAGCGTTATTAACCAACGCGTGTTCGACGATTGGTCTCAGCGCGTATGAAGCATAAAGTCACAAATGCGAACGAAATACGCACACAGAACAAGTCCCGGAAGAAAGAAACCAAAAAAAGGAGAAATCGGCGAACCGCGCTAAAGCGCATGACGGAATGATCCGACCCGCGCAAAGCGGGGGACGGATGAATACCGACCCGCGCAAGCGCTTGGACGGATCTAATCCACCCGCGCGAACGCGGTCGATCAATCCGACCCGCGCAAATGCGCGGGTCGGATGAATTCTGACCCGCGGCAAGCGCGGGTCCGGATATTTCGACCCGCGAGCACGGGTCGGATGTTTCGGCGACCCGCGGAGCGCGGGTCGGATATTCCGACCCGCGCGAGCGGCGGGTCAGATTGTTCTGCCGCGCAGTCTAATTCCGCAAACGGTTTGACGGTTTTAATTGTTTTTTGTAGGTTATCGGTCCAGGGTTCTTAACTGACTTGAGATCATCTCAAACCGTGGTTAAGGCTTGCTGTTGACTAAAAGATAAGCCAAATCCGCTTTGTTCTATCCCAAATAACCGCATTTAGGCCTATAAATATGAACAAAGGCCTCCATTTTCTGGATCTGGAATTTATCAGAGACGAGGTGCTGGCTCGGAGTTGGAAGGAACGGAGCACAGAAATTTCAGCAAAAGGACAGACGAGACCCGGCGAACTTCGGAGCAAAGGAGAAAGCCTTCGAAGGATCCGAAGCTCGTAGCCGTTCCTGAGATTAGCTTGTCTTATCTCGAGAGAGCCCTGATACGCTGTTGTCTGATTCCAGGACTTCAAGCAAATACCCCTTGGTGAGGTAGACTCTGGCCAAATTTTCTGCAACCGGATCTGAGTTCTGAGGTCGTCCACGGATTTAACCCCGCAAAGCAAAGAACCCACGCAAGCAAGACCGATAACGGATCTTGCTTATTTTCAAAGAAAGTTGTAATCTTTTGTTCCTTTGTATTTGAATCATTTGTAACGCTTAAAGTTTAATGAAAATCAATGACGTAAGGTGAACTTTCGAGCGAAAAACAAAACTGGCCGACCACAGTGGGGAGCCGACACCGCCTTCTGCGAAGGCTACGTGCGCACGC